TCTGTTGTGGATCCCTGCAGGTGTTTTCAAGGAATGTGAGAGCCTTACCCTCCTATTGCAACCCTTGTGCCCTGCCCCATCCATATTAGAGCTCACAATAATGTGGGTGCTGCTCAGCAGCTGCTGTTGTCTTCTTCCACATACACATTTCCTTGTCTGATGGTAAAGACCACTTATAATGACTGCTGATTTAGATATGAAAAGATATGGAAGATTGTTTGGGAGTCACCTCCCTGTGTTGAACACTGAAAAAATTGGAAACTTTTTATTGAAAAAGGAAAGCTGGAAACCCTGATGTACCAATACTAGCCCTAGTCAGTTCATCTTAATGAATATTCTTTAAAAAATGTGTTCCTGACTCTAACTGTCTTAAACAGCTCTGAGTCTCAGTTTTTTGTGTAATCATCATTTCTACCACCTTCAACACATTGCAGTAGTGAAGAACTCATTGAATTGAATACTCCATGGTTTTTACAGCTGCCTGCAACATGGATACCATTTATTTAGGTGATGCTTTTCCTGTGGCAAGGAATATTCTTAGAATATTCTTGAATTCTTATAATTCTTAAATTATTTAGAGAACCCTACTTCAGCATGTAATCCAGGGAGATCAAAAACATGTTACTGGACTCCTAAAGATTGTAAAATCCACACAGAATCTACAGCAATAATGGCAGTGAAACTTATTTTTCTAAGATATTTGCAATTGTGTGATTGGTAAACTTCAGCATCTTTCATCTATCGTGTCAAACTATTTTCTATGAAAATTTTATTGGAGAAAAATAAGCTCAGATTTGTATTGAGTCTGGTATCTTCTATTGTCTTCACTCCTCACTAAATATAGCATCTTCCTACAGTATTCTTGTACACTCAAATCTAAAATTTTGAAAGCTGATCCCTTTTAATAGTGCATAATAAATAGATTCCAGCAGCAATACTGAACCACAAAATACGGCAAGTGCCATCTGAGGATTTTGGGTGTATACTTGTCCTTTCCTCCCTTCAACTGTTTAGACATGTTTATATGAACTCACAGAAAATGCATTGTATTTCCAAGATAATGTTAAGTTCAACTTAAGTGAAGTTCTTGTGTTTCTGAGATTATCATTTCACTTAAAACTGTATGAAGAATTGTATTTGTTTCTTCCTTTTTGCCTTATGGGTAGTAAGAGATATAATGGAGGAGTTATAAAATACTATATTGGATCTTATAAGGAAAAAAAGATAGAGAACATTTCCTATTGACTGGATTTTTCTAGAAGATACTGCAGAGAATTTTCTCCAGTGGGGAAAAAAAAAATTCTCATAAAAAATTTGTAAGAAATTCCAAGAAAATTATGCTTTTGTAACATCATAAAAAATTGATATATTTTTCTTTCTTCATCTCAAAATAATTTTTATTACACTATTCTGATCAGTCTGCTATTTTTGAAAAGAATTAGTCTATAGAGTAATTCATGATCATTGACAATTGAGAACCAGTTGCAAGCAATCAAGTTAGTCATGATATAAAAAAGATAACATCTATAAATAACAAAATTATCTGTGATTTCTGATAGATTTTTAAAATTGTCCATCTAAGAAGGGTTGCTATTTTGATCTAAAGGAACTTAAATATTTCAGTAAATCCTGACTTTCAAGTCTGGGTCAAAGATCAATGGTAGATTTGACAAAAATTATATATCTGTTCTGTCAGTGAAGACTGAAGAAACATATTCTCCAATATTATGTTCCCCTGCTCAAAAGAAAATATCATAGAAAATAGTTTAATCACTTACTCATATTGTTGACAAAAGGAGTAAATGCAAGCAATTGTGACTGCATTAATTTGCCTTAATATTTCAAGTCCTATTATATAGTTCTACCATTTGAGAAGACTGCAAGTAATTGTCTTCACCAGTGATATTAAAAAATAAAATCCCTTCAACACAAAAATGAATCATTCATTTCCATTTTTTTTTCCTAGCACGAAAATTAGATTAACTAGCAGTCAAGGGATTATGAGGTATTAACTGTGAGAAAGTTAAGAAATGCCTAGGTCATTTCAGGACCTGAATTGATGTCTCATTTTTCTACATCTTTCTTTTAAAATCCTCACCAGTAAAACCAAGTAATTTTAATAACAAATAAAATCCTTCTTAGCATATGTCATTATTTAACTAAGCTGAGAAAAACCAAAAATCATTAAATATAAACGTTCACATTTCAGGGAGCATGGCTACTTTGAAACAGCTTAATTTGAAGTGAACCTGCAATATCCAGATGCTGCAGGAGGAGGTAAGGACACAGACACTGGGGAACAGCCAATGTTCAAGTTTTTACAACTGTGCTTGAAACCTTAACTGTGCTTAACTGTACCTGCAGCACAGTTCTGTTTAATCACCTCTGAGGAAATGGGTTTTATTTGCTTCAGTCCTGTTCTTCTTGCCAAATACGTTAGTGAGCTGTTTTTACTGTCACGTGGAAGCTGTTAGCCTTTTTTTGCTGTTGTTGTTGTACATGTGATAGCTTTTCAGGTTCCTTTCCTCTTTTCTTCAGACAATACCTCTGGTGACATTATGGGGATCATCCATTAGGAAACTGAAAAAAATCCAAGAAATACAGCAAAATTCTGTGTTCCAGCACAGAACTAGCAGGTTCAGAACTAGGATCATCCTCTGTTGATGCTGTCCCTATCAAGTACTCTGAATAAGCTGTCAGTGCTATTATTTGAGAGAGAACAGAGGCCTCTTCAAACACTGCTGTGCCATCCCACACAAAGGCCAAGCAAGCCACATCTCCTTTCTCTCGATACAGCTGCAGCATTGTAGGCAGAGCTAGACCCTTCTTGTACAATGCTTGAGTAAGCAAACTCGGTGTGGACATTGCTGTGAGAGAATAAATATCAGCATTTCAAGCCTCCCTTTGCTGTCACAGCAGTTTGTAGAGCTGAAAGAGAAAAAATGTTTAATTTGAGGGGGGTTCTGTAGTGGGACAGACATGGAGCAGATCTGTAGGAATTGACTTCACCTGCCTCCTCTCCAAGCACTTCCATAGCCTGACCCAGGAAATGATTCTGCTGCAGAACATGGACACTGTGGGGAGAGGCAGGGACCCTCCAGACAGGGGCTCTCCTTGGGGTGGCAGATGCTGCAGTTTCTGCTGGCTGAAAAGTAAAATAAACCAGAGCAGAAGTAGAAAATAACAACACTGATAAAACAGCCATGTGAACTCAGTACATCCCTGTCTCCCAAATAACTACATTCTCCATTTGATGTGTCAATTTTTAATGCCCAGTACAGTTAAGGGCTGGGGAGCTGAATCCACTAAAGAACAATGGACCATGTGGCCATCCTCTTCTTCCCTGGCCTAGCACATCTGTCTGATCTATAGGGACTGGGGTCAATTGTCTCCATTTATATTGCAGTGCACAGCAGGAAGCAGCAGGTGTTGCCAGCTGGAGACCTGAATCAAGCAGAGTAGGGAGGTTTGATGCAGTCCAGCTCCTCTACAGCCCCTGTTTCCCCACACCCATGAATGTCTGTGGTGTTGGGTGGGTTGCTGCTCTGGCTGGGGTCATCTGAGAACAACTGGTTCATGTGTTCCAAGGTTCTTTGGGGGTCAGCCATGGGGGGTCAATGAGGAGATTCTCTCCTCATCAGAAAAAAAGTGCTGGTGGAGACTGCCCATTTCTGTCCAGTTTACCCACTCCTCTCAGGCCCTTTGGTGCAGTGTGTAGATCGCTCTAGGGTCTGCCACAAGTGAAGAGCAGGTGCTAACGTCTGCAAACCAAAGATTATTCTTATCAAACCTTTATGTTGCATTACTTGCCTGTGAAAACACATATTATTCAATGCCCTCCCCTGAAGAACTACCTGCTGTTGAGAATGCAGTAATTGGTTACAGGTCTTCAATGACTGCAAGAAATATTTCTTTTCTCTCAGTATCCAAAACATATTATCCAAATGGATTTTTTTTTCTGCTGGTGCTAGGCTACATAAACAAATGTTGAAAAATCCAGTGCAGCTTAGATATAAGCATTGACTACCTCAAAACCTTGTGATGTTCTCAAAGTTTGGGTAAAAGTCAATGTCTCTGTTTCCTTGAGTTAGAGCCAGTGAGCAGATACACCCTTTGGCATGGTGAAACACAGTGAGTTTGTCAGCATGAACTCAGCTCTCCTTTTCATTTCAGAGATGGTCAAATCATCAGAGAGTGGTGGTTTTCCAGGTTGGTTTGTAAAGGGTTTCCTCATTATACTAAGAATTCTGGAAATGTAGTGTTAAAGACTTGTAAATAAGTATCTCCACTTTCATAAGCACTGTCAGCTGAGGGGCACTGTAGTAGTGCTCATCATGTCTAGAAGCTGGATCAGCTGTGTAGAGGTTCACTAAAGTCTTAGCATTCTTTTCCTAGTCATAGAGATGAAGAAGAGCTGCTTTTCATTTGTTTGCTAATAACCGCTTATGTTTTAGGTAGAATTTTATGTGTTGTTTGAGTCTTATGTAGAGTAGGTTAGCAGCAACAGGAAAGCTCAATTAAAGGTGGTAACTACTCTACTCTTTGCAGATTACATGTTCATTTACAGCATCCAGTGCTGAAATCAGCCTGGAAACTCTTTACTCATGTTTTCTGTTTTGACAGTGTGGGAAGAAACAGAGTTTTTCCAAGTAAGGAAAAAAAAAGAGTTTACTGTCATGAAAATCAGCTTGACCAGAGTGTATTCCGTGGAGCCACCACTGAGACAGTCACAGCAAACAACATGAGTTTGCTAGAAAAAGCACCAGAAAAAATCTTCCCCAACATATAAGATTTGAATTCCTGAGCACAACAACTGGGTAACAAAGTTGTCAAATACACTCTGCCTTTAATCCAAACTTATTTCTTGATTACTCGAGCGGAAAATTAGTGGAGAGAAAGGGAGCGGTATAATCATTGTAAGTAACTGCCTAAGACCACGCTAAGTTTGCAATCGATAATGTGCCAATTTTCTTTCTAATTGCTTTGCCACAGCTCTTGGAAAGCTGCAATATGCTGGATATAGGTTGTTTTCAAAGAGGAGTTACAGGCACATCAGGGAGCCAACAGTTTGCTAACCTGGGACATGCAGATGTACGGCTGTGCCAAACAGAAAGGTCAGATGATTGCTTCCTTTTGTGGCTGAGTTTTGTCCTGTCCACAAGTCTTACTGCTCCTCCTTTAATTACCTAGAGATGCTGTGCTGTATTTTATGGTAGATTTAAAAAAGGTTTAAAATTATATGACAGCAAGTCTTTCCCAGTGGAGAACAGAATTAATAAATCTATAGAAAGAGGTACGTCATAATGAAGATGCCAAGTTTTTCTTGAAAATGGAAGCAATTCCTTGAGCTATTAAAAACATGCTCAAATGTATTGCATTTTCTTTACACACTATTTTCTACCCTCCCACTGTTCTATATTTTTCAGTGAATTTCCACCTCTCCAAGGTCAATCAAGCCTCATGTTGTTTTGTTCAGCCTCTACCATTTCACTTGTTATACTGCTCATCACCATCAGCTCAGCTGTGCTATTTTCCCAACTCTTTATTTTATTCTTTCCATCTTTTCCCCCTGTTTTCATGGGCTCTGTCCAGTCCTGCACAGGGTAGCCACCACTGCACTGAGACTTGGCCACAAGTTGCATGTGGCCAGGATGGGTGTCCTTCCTGTGTGCACCAAGTGCCCCAAAACCCCACTTGACCTGGGAACAGCTGGCCTGGCTTAAGTTTTGCTTGAATGGCCTTTCCCTGAACTTCTGCACACACTTGGTGCAGGTCAGCTCTCTCTTCCTCCTCATTCTCCTCCTCCTCACCAGTCTGTCACCTGCCACTTTCCTTTCCTCGACATTTACAAAATCCTGCTGCAGTTTCCACCATCTTTCCTGCACTGAGTTTTGTATTTCTCTGTTTTACTGATCCTCATCCTCCAAGATAACAGCACATTTCCCCTTTGAATCCCTCTCATTTATGATATTCTTGTTAAGAAATTTTGGTAATAATACTTCCTTTAACTTCCAGATTAAGTCTTAATATCTACCTAATTATTTACCAAAAAAAACCCACAACAAACTAGAAATGTTGAAGTTTTTTTGTTTAACCTTAATCAATTTGTCATTCAATCAAAGATGGCTTTCAGCTATAAAGTGAAATCACCTGTGTAGGTTAGATCAAATGAGTATGCCAATGATCAAGAACTTCTGTGTGAAGGGAGAAAAGGAAATAACTAGCTGATACATGCCCAGAAATTATACAGGCAGTGGTCAGAACAAATTAACTCCTTAATAAATATTATCCCTCTATGACATCCTATAACTGTGAGCTTCAGGATGGCAAACTATGAGGGAAAAGAGTCTATTCTGATTATCTAAGAGTTGCTTTATTGAGGACATGAGGTTTATGTGTTGTTTTTTCATCTGCAAGTCTGCTCTTCAGCCTCAGTCCTGGACCTTCTGCTCAGCTTCAGTCAAATGCTGCAGGGCAGCTGCTGCCTCAGGGATATAAAGCTAATCCAGATTTTATGGGAGTGGTTTGCTGGGTAGAAAAAAAATAAATCTCAGCAGCAAGAGAGAGAGGTGTTTTTAATGGCTCTGCTGAGCAGAAGGCTGCCATGCAAAAACAGTGCTTATGGCAATGCTCTCCCTCATGGTTGAGAGGGTGTTAGACCTGCATCCATGCAGGTTCATGTTCTACAAGAGCCAGACAGTCCAGCCAGAAGACACAAGGAATCCAGATTTCACTTGCCTACCTCCACAGATTCAGTTAGTTATTAAGTTATTAGTTAGTTAGTTAGTTATTAAGCACAGAATTTCTGAAAGCATGCAGTTGGGCAAGCATCAACTGTGTCTTGTCCCTTCCATTTTAAAGGTGTGTGTGCTTGGCAGAGCCCTTCTATGTGTTTTGCTGATATTTGGAAATCTTTTTTAACTCTGACTATCAAATTCCTCTATTTTCTACTTCAGATTAGGGCCACCATGTCTGTGTCATATTTTTTGAATAACAGAAAAAAAAGGTGCATAACTGCTTATTTAGCAACTGGGGTATCTGTCAAAGTTAAAACAGGAAAATGTAGTTTAATTAAGTAATCTTGTTATATAATGCCACTGAGCAATTGAACAGTAGCAGCTCTTCCCTCCTCCAATCCCTGAAAACTCAAGAAAGTTAGTACTGCATATGTAAGAGACACATGTGGATAGCTAAATATTCACTGTAAATTGTTTGTTCAGTTAGAAATAATATAATGGAAATCAAAGTATGTGCAGTGAGGGAAGAAAGGAAAGTCTGAAAAAAAAACCTCTCCGAAAAATTGGATTGCCTGATACTTGAAAGTAGCTGCTCTTTTTTCCCCTTTTTGATCACTTGAATTCACAAAATGATATGGGTCTTCACATTCATGCCAAATTACTTCAATTGCACTAAAAAAGGTATCTTATTTCATTGCTTTCACTTCTCCTGGCATAGCCAGTCGTGGCCTCAGGCTTGGGAACCACCGGCCTCTCTGTGGGTGCCAGTGAAAGCAGAGGTAGGTAATTAATGCACAGCAATGTGTGTCATCAGCTGTACAGGGAGAGCCAGAGGGCAGGTGATGCTGCCCTCTCAGGTTTCTGTACAAAACACGTTTGAAAAAGAGGATACAGGGTATGAAAATACGTGACTCTTCAGGTTTTTTTGCTTTCTACTGCCAGAGTCCAGTTAACAAGATTGAATGTTAATGAGATTCTATAATGGCTCTTGTATCCAATTTGGACATTCATTTTTCTCCCTACAGAATGTGCTCGATATGGGGTTCAATCCAGGGTTAAACCCTTGCTGCTCTGTATTGTTTATGCTATTAATGCCTGCAAATAAAAATGACTGGAGAAACTTGTCTCCATAGAAACTAGCATCTAACTAAATATAAGACGAAATTTTCTTGCTTCTTTCTCTTTCACCACACCAGCCCAAGAGGAACATGATGTCCTCATAGAATGAAAGGACTTTGTAATTGAAATATGCAACGTTCCCTCACAAACCATTTATTTCTTCTAACCATGTCACTGTTGCATTAATATTTCTTTCTTTGCAAAAGAATAGGGAAATTTTGATAAAATGCACTTATATTGTGTGAAGATCATGCATTCTGTTCTTAATGAGTAAACAGAAAAATTAAGAGAAGTCACATGAAAATTTATATCCAAAATTATTGTATATATTTACTCTATCATGACATTGAATTTCCTCTAGAAAACAAAAGTTGCACTAACCCCATTTTTCAAACCATAGGGTGGTATTTTTTTCTTGTATGTAGGCACATATAAGACTGAGTTCTTCCAGACTTATGAAAAGTAAAAGTCATACTCTGGCAGAGAAGTACATCACAGCATAAGCAGAACATAGAGCATCAAGCTTTGTATCTAAGGTTACATTTTTTGCCTTTCTTCAGATGTCTTCTGTTTTGTCTCCTAGAAATTTTGTGCTATCTGAAGTTGAGGACTGAAATATGTATACAGAGTAGATATATATAGAACTACCACTTAGGCCAGGATGGGAGGAATCTGAAAATCCCAGACAAATACCTGTTATACTCTTGGACATAAAAATCAGTGTAAGCAAGAGATGTCAAGCTCTTTACCTTGTTGGATGGTTTTGGTTTTTTTTATTAATTTTATGTGCAATTCTGAGTTAAAGGCAGCCTTATGATACATGCCTGACATCAGTTCATATTAGAACCTGGTGTCAGTTGTATGGGTTTTAAAATGGCTTAACATCACTGAAAAGGAGATGAAGAGTCATGTTCTTAAACCTCACAGTAAGTAAAACACTATGAATTGCTGAAGAATCCATACTTCCCATATCTGAACCATAATTAAAACCTTATGTATGGGTTTTGAGGCATTTAATATGTCAGAGACGAGTCTCTGAAAAGTAGAGGTTGGGATGAATGGACCCTTCTCAAAAGAGTCAGGGTATTTGAACTGCCATGACCGACTCACTGACAGATATCAAAAGCACATGAATTCAACATCTGGCCACTTTCCAGTCAGCACTCCTAGGCTCCTGCATTTTTTCATAAGAGTAGTTGTGCCAAAAAGGCCTGGAAGACTTCAGCATTTTTCTTTCCAGTCTGTTACATGTTTCCTTTTCAGAGTAAAATGTATTTGATTTGGAGTGGTGCAGAAAAAAAAAGAAAAGAGGAAGTACCTTCATGCTTGCAGCTCTTTGGCTTTTATCTAGGGTGGAGAGGCAGAATTCTGGAAGACAGTAGACATGAGATTCTCCAGCTGTTCCCTTGTTTGCTCCTTGGTGCTACATACTACCACCACATCTGGTGAAGATTCATTCAGGTATGAATTGAATGTAAAAATAACTTTGTTGTCATCCTGTGTATTTTAATGGTTTTGGGCTAGATAAACAGCAAAAGTGAAATTTGAATATTGTATGTAGATGAATACGGATGTAGATGTTTTTAACATTTCCCCCATGTTTTACTCATCCAAACTCAGGAATCTCTCTGTACCTTCACAGCTGCTACAGTGCCTTCTGCATCCCCTGGCCCTGTGGGCAGCCAAGAAGTTGCAGCACTGGCCCTGCCCACAATGTAAATGTGCTCTGTGGGGTCTGTCTGACAGAGCTCTTCTGCCTCCAGGACTGAAGTGCTGGAGGCAATGCCTCATTTACTCCATGAAAGGACTCTCCTCCTATGCGTGTTTCTGCCTCTGCACTAAAGGGTGTCACTGTTCATTTGTGAAAAGATGACACCATCCTATTGGAGGGACAGCCTGAAGCTCGAAGAAGGGCCCCATGGTATTGTCCATAGTGGAAGGAAGGTCATTTTTGCAATCACTAAGCAAAACATGCCCTCCAAGTGTTCCAAGCGTTCAATCAATGACAGCCTGGTTGCCTGCTTATCCAAGGAAACTATGGAGATGGAGGCTGGGGGTCTGTTGTGCATTTGCCAAATGCATCACAGGATTAGAGCACGCCTGCTCTGCATGCCAAGGTGGACCAGGATCACTTCAGCTGGCAGTGAAGGGTAATTCCTGAAAGAAGGATGGAAGAATGAAGTGCTATGGGTAGGAAGGGAAATGAGATACAGTTTTCTATCCTGAAGAATCTCCAAAAGAATAAGTAGGAAGACCAGAAACATCATGAGTTTCCAGCAACAGGGTCATAACAGAAAATTTGTGATCTCAGGATCTGGTAAGAAAACCACAGGCTGTTATTTCCCTCCCCATGATTAGTTTGCCACTGTCCTGGATGCTCCTGTGTTGTCTATGAGCACCAGAAAACATCTTCTCTGGCTCTCCAGGACCTGTAAGATACAGCAGCTTTGGAAGGAGGAGCACTGACCTGGGGAAATGGATAGACCCAGGGGAACCTGTATGATCATTGTTGAGCTGGTTCATTCACTAGCAAGAGACAAAGAAGCTAGGTGGGAAAAATAGCTGTGGGGTTACAAGAGCTTCTCTCAGGGTCCAAGGGCTTTTTCTCTTTCTCACATTCTGCTTTTGAATTTGAGTTTTTGACTGTGATGATGGAGACTCACAGAAAGTACTTAAGCAGACTGTGTGAGCTGTGGCCTGAACTAGTGGGACTATTATTAGTATTAAGTGATGGTGCTCTCATTTTTAGTTTACTGGTTTCATCTGGCATATTAATCTGGGTGAGAGTCACCCTAGAACCAACCTGCAATTATTTCTCCTGTGTTTATTTGAATAAAAATCTGCCCCAGACCAAGGTGTAGGGAGGTCTATAGGTACATTTAATCCAAGAGAGCTCTGAAGGATTCAAGAAGAAACTGGATGTGGGCCAACTCTCAGCTCTGCAGGGAAAAAGTCACCCGGCACCCAGGAGCATGCAGGTGGAGCTGCAGGACCAGGGCATGGTTTTCCCATGTGTCACACACTTCAGGCATTTTGAGGAGCAGAAAATTCCTGGAAAATGCTGCAGGCCCCCTGAAGAGTGACAACAGTCTATATTTTGTAGGCTGGCAACTTCCTGTGGTTCAGCCAAATTCCCAGAACTTCCATGGGCATCTGAAGTGTAGTTGTTTGTGGTGTTATGGAGATAAAGCTGGTCCTTGGTAGCACTGGCCCAGTGAGTTTGTCCAGCTCTGGCCAGGTTTTTCTGGCTGTCCTGCCCTCTGGCCACCCACAGGCTGTAGTGGGTAATGGTGTGCCTGGGGTAGTCTGGGGAAGTCCCAGCTTTTGGTCTTGGTCAGAAGCTGGTAGGGTGATCCTTGGGAATGTGCTGGTCTAGAAATATAGAGGCAAGCTTTCTGAGAGAAAAGAGCAAAAATCAAATGTTTTTTTCTTTTAATAACTCTCACAGAAGAGTTTTCCCTCAGTAAGACAAAATGTTACTGCCTTCACCTTTTCCACTAAAACTTCCCTTTGCATTTTCAGCCACTTATATGGATTGCTTTTATTATGTATAATACAGCACAATATTCAACATTTCAGTTCCTGCTTTTTTCAAATGAACACAAAACCAATCCATCAATACCACCCTAGTCTCAGACATGAGACAATACTGAGGCATGGAGCTCTATGTAATTTAATGTACAGTTGGTATTATAAATTGACAAAAAGATCTGTTGTAGAAGTACTTAGACTCTGCATTTTGAAATTTATTTGCTTAAGGGGAAAGACACATCAAGTATGTAATCACATTTAATCACCACCATAGCAATGCAGATGACCAATGGAGGGAAGCAGAATTGTATTGAATTTTGAACATGTGGAGAAAAAATCTATGGCTGTCACAAACAAACGTTTCTTACAAACAGGTAATTTTTCATAATGAATAGCATAATGATTTCTCTCTTTTTCTTTGGAAAGTTGCATCAAGACATCAGTGATGACAGGTTATAGACAAAATCATAAGCAAAGAGCACAACAGAATGCTCACCCTGCTCAGCAGGTGGGCGTTTGAGCTGTATTATAGCAGCACCTTCTGGGCTTTGCAATTTAGTAGACAGGCTCTTGATATCACTTTTGAAATAAATTTATTTTCTCTGTGAGCTGTCATTTCTGGAAGGAATTACTTTAAAATTTTAATTGTAAATATTAGCAGTTCGCACAAGAATCTTGAAGGCTAAGGGCAAAAACTGATCTGCTATGGGTAGGAAACAATAAACACCCAACCAAATTGAAGGAGTTCATTATCAAGTGTTATAAAGATGAGGGGAGTCTGGGACTCATAGCTCTGATAGTGGCTGTTGATAGGCATCTGATTTTTCTTCTGTCTTTTTTTCTTATGAGAAATTGCCCAGCCTCTTAGCTTGGAACTTGTGTGAACTCACAAGCAATAAATATAGGATTAGTTATCATATTGCAATAGAAATGAGGTAGCCTGGAGGGAATTGAAGAACATTTCAAATAAAATTGCTGCATTATAACTCATTAAATAATTCACATGTCTATACTGTACTTCTGTCTCAAGAAGGAGCTGATCACCTCTGAAGGATTGCAGATGTTTATGAAACAGCAGGATTTGAGAGCTCCAAGACCTTACTAGAGTGGGTCTTTTATGGAAATTTGTAGTGAATGGACAGTGAGATAGAACTGGTGGTTGTGAAGTAAGTGTCTCTCTCTGTATTAAAAAAAACCCCAAACTGGAAAGAATTTTAAATATCTACTTAATTTAATGAATTAATTCTGTGTTCAGCAATTGTATTGTTAATGTATTTGATAAATAATCATGTCAATGTTTTGCAATGAGTCTGGAGGAACTTCTTTGCATATGAAAACTAGTTTTTAAAATTTCTGTTATTTGAAAACATAACCATATTGATTTAATTGCATGTATTATTTTCTAATAGAAGAACAATTTTTCAGGAAAGCATTCCTTCTGAACAACAACATTCTTTATGTTTAAAAGTAAATAGAAATAGCTGAAGCCAAAATATGTGGTATTGTTTAGCAAAAATGAAAGCTGAAGTTAAAATCTATTGAATTACACATAAAAGAAAAAAATGAAAAAAATTAAAAAAATAAAAAATGAGAATGACGAACAACATGGTTTAATTGTCCTGGTGTCTGTATTCTTAACCACCATCTTAGCATTCACAGAGATAAATAATACATTTTGAAAAAACAGGAGCAGCTTTTCTTTTCCTTCATCTCATCCCCTGTGCTGTGATAAAACAGCAGACTCCACTGAAAAACTATTGCAGGATACTAAGGATTAGAAAGCAAACCATTGCTTACAGTTTGGAGGTTTTAGGAGGCAAAGAAAATAGTGTTGAAAGAGGGAACCCAATGAGCCATTTGCTTCTTACTGCCAAAATTTGTAATGAATCCAGATGCTTCTTTTAGCATGAGTTAGGTGCAGATCCATGCCCTAAAGGATTAGGTTTGGAAATCTATTCTCCTTGGAGTATTAGCATGGCTTCTTGACAGTACCACTCCAAACAGCTGTTTTTGCAGTTTATTTTCTTCATCCAGACATCAGGTAGCTGAAAAGTAGTGCTGTTCTGATGATGCAGAGCAAGTCTCACTACTGTATTGCTGGAATGTTATACCAGGAGTGTTTCAAAATCTTTCCCATGGGCTCCAAAAGATGTTGATGTCACTAGATTTATTTGTGCTGTATGGCCCTGGCTCATGACAATATGAGACGATTCAAGGAGCTGGCACTACTAAACAGACTTTGCAGCATCCTTTGGCAAGTACCTCAAGAAGTTTGCTCAGCAGTGAAAAATAAAATATTGACACACAGTTGGCGAGGTCTGTGGCAATGAGCAGGATCACTGCATGTGAGACAGGTACAGAGATTTCCCATCAATATCCCAGGAGATGTTGCTATCAACAAACAAAACTCACTTGACTTCTATGATGTTCCCAAGAAGGAAAAGTGTGCATTCTAAATAGAAATGTAGCAGGAGTCAGTTTTCGTGCAGATAATCTGTTACTTCTGGCATAAGAATTAACTGAATTCAGAGCCTGACCTGCTTGTGTTGTTAGTAAGTATTGATTTCTTGGTGTCCCAAAGCTATTCCAGGGAAAACTGTAGCTAGACTCTGGAATTGAGACTCTCTAGGGTAAATGGAGACCTCTTGCATTATGAACTGCCTCATGGGGATCTTAAACAATCAGGTTTTCTGCAAACATGTGCTCCTTTGCCTGTGTCACATTGACTGGCAATGGCCAGAAGCCAGGCAATTCATTGAGCTGCAGAGCTATTCATATGTAAACGTACATTGGCATCAGGGTCAATAACTCATCCTAAAGGACTATGTCTCAAGGCTGTGCATGAACATGGATTCTTTGATGTCTGAAAAGGGTTGAATTAACGGTGTGGCCGAAGGGTTTCTCTTCTTAGCCTGTACACCTATTTGCATTAGGCATATGGAAACTGGCTCAGCTGGAAACATGCTGAACTTTCTTTAAAGTTGTCCTGTAACCTAGAAATTACTGAGTAGAATAAAGCAAGCAAGCTATGAGATGCTGGAAAGCTGTGCCATGGAAAGGGTCCTGGAGGTCCTGGTCGATGGCAAACTGAATGTGAGTCAGCAGTGCCCTGGAGCCAGGAGGGCCAACAGTGCCTTAGGGTGCATCAGGCACAGCATGGCCAGCTGGGCAAGGGAGGAGATTGCCCACTCTGCTCTGCACTGGGGCAGCCTCACCTCGAGTGCTG